AGGGAGTCAATGAGTTCATATGTGTAACACCCTTAGAGCGCTGCATGAATGACGCACTAGATAGACATCAGCTTCTATTTCCACCACTGCTGCTGCCTTTGCTTCCGTGATGATTATTCACGGTGAGCTAGGAGGTGGAAAACGTATTCTCAGATTCTCCCACAATTAAAACCAGACCCAAAAGGGACTCAGAGGGATTGTCAGATTTAGAAAATAAAAATAAAGAATATCCAGCTAAATTAGAATTTTTAGATAAATAAGGAATTTTTTTAGTGTTTAAGAACATTCTGTGCAATATTGGGGGCTTACTTACACTAAAGTAGTATTTTTGTTTATCTGAAATGTAACAGGGTCTTGTATTCCATGTGCATCTCCTATCTGGGAGGTGCTTTGCTCCTCGATGCCCCCCTGGCCCTTGGTGCTCTGGACTCACACACACACTCCAGGGACAACACTGTTGCCTCCAATCTTTCAAAGGGGCCAGAGATAGAAGCAGAGTCTGGGATGGGAATTCTTGTTTACCTAAGACTAAGAAGGCAGTGAGGGAGGGAGAGGAAGGTCAGGAAAGAGAAGCAAGGAAGCTGTCCCTAAGGAGGACATGGCATGGGCCTGAGCCCCTGGGATACTCTGCAGTGACGTGACACTCAGCATGGGCCCAACCGGAGGGGAGGGGATCAGCCTTTTGTACACCTGCCTCAGTCACTGACCACAGTGTGTGAAAAAGGCAAGTCACCCCTGATCTGAAGTACCCTGGCACCTGGCTTGCCCCCAACCTGTCTTCTTCACATCCAAACACAGAACCTGAGCTCCAGGCTCAGCTAACTCCCAGACAGTGGCAGTCAGTGGCGGTCAGTGCAATGGCTCAAATAAACTCACCCAGACTTCACCTTAGACAAAGCAGGTACTTCCTCATGTGAACAGAACGGCAACCTGTGTGGAGGGACTGAGCCACCCACCAGCCACACTCTACGGCATGCTGCCCAGTGCAGTCCGTGTGGTTGGTCTGTGGAGCTGCCTACAAATGCTCCTTTTGAGCTGTTGTTTGGCAAGTGTAAAACAGACATAGGACTAAAAAGATGCAGTTTCATTCAAAAGCTCTTGAAGGGCCTCCCCGGTGGCGCAACAGTTGAGCACTGGGCTGCGAAGCTGTCTGCAGCCTCTGCAGCACCGGTTCGATCCCCGGCTGCCGACAAGGGTCCCACATGGTGAGCAGACCTCTCCTCCCGCGCCCGCTGCTCCTCTCAGCAGTATATTTCATCAGTCTGCCTGTTCTACTCCCCGCTCTGGCTCTGGTGAATTCTCTCACCCTCCCACACTTCTGACTGTACCTAGTGCTTGTGTAAATAAATAAATAAATAAATAAATCTAAAAAAAAAAAGACTTAAAAAAAAAAAAGAGCTCTTGAAAAATCGCCTGCATCTTTTTTTAAATCTAGAAATTCATAAGCATAGGCTGTATATTTTGACAAAATTATCTGGGTGTCTTGGTTATCAGATTTCCAAAAAATAAAACAAAACCAGGGTTTATTTAAATGTGCAAAAGATCACCCTACCCAACCTTGAGGCAATTAGGAACTTCTTTGTGACAGGTGAAAAGGCACCTGGCACTTTGCATTTGCTTTTAGAAAGGGGCTTGTTTCAGCTGAATACATCTTTTTCAAAAGAAGCCAGAAAGAAAAAGAAAAATACCTGATGGTCTCACTCATAGCAGGAATCTAGAAAACTTAAATAAGGGACCAGGAAAATGAATAACTATAAGAAAGTAAAAATCAAAATCAACAAAAATCTATGAACCAGAGACACTTTTGGGGGGTGGGTGGAGGGAGGGGAGGGATTGGGGTCAAAATGGGGGGGGTTGAAATTGTATGGGGAATATAAAAATAAAATTTATTATAAAAAAAAAAAGAAAGACTGCAGTTGAAAAAAATAAAAAAACATGGAGCAGAGAGGTATGTGAACAAGAAGCTGCACTTGCTTCTTACTTAGCCTTGGACTTGTACCAGGGACTTGGGGACATGGAAGGAGACACTTGAAAGAGACAGAGACATGGGTGAGAGACATGAGGGGAGGTTAACAACAGCAGCCTTTGTTTTGACTTATATTTTGATTTTTTTTGTTTATTTTCCAGCCTTGCCTGGCCCCTTCTGGCCCTTCCCCATGGGTCCCCACCAAAAAGCGCCTTGACTTGTAGCAAGCGTTTGGGCCTCAGTGGCCCTGCTTTGGACCAACCCTGTTTGACTGGGCATTTACCCACTAGAGGATGGGTAACTTAGGGTGTTTCATTTGGAAATTACTATCCTTTCTTCTTTTCTCTCTATTGCACATTAATTCTATTAAATCTCTCTTCTAATGAAAAAAAAAATTACTAGACTTAAAAGTACCCCCGACCCCCTGTCTCACCCAACTCAATCAAACATTGGGAGACAACCTCCCGGAGGCCTCAGACCACAGTCCAGTCCAGGTCAGCACACAAGTGCCCTGCTGAAGGGTAAACATGATGTGTTTTGATGCCAGGGTTGTTCAGAGGAAGTCTTGCCAAACCACCCATCAAGTGTCCCTCTCCCACACGTTGTACAGGCCTCTCCCTCAGGCAGAATTGCTCCCTCACTTGTCTTCCTACAGGGACCACACCCTCCCACGTACTTCACTGTCAATGTCCTGCAGTGAAAACAAGTACTCATTGGGTGTGTCTTCTGTTCCAGGTACAGTATTGGATGCGTCTCCTTCCATACTCACCACACGTAATGTTGACACTATTTGGTAGTGATAACAGGTGCTGGCTGGCAAGTCTCTTTACAAATGAAGAAACCAAGGCAGGAGGATGAACGCGAGTGGGCAACACACAGGGAAGTCAGGTGAGCACCCGCCACTTAGGTCCTTTACCAGGAACCCACAGACCATCAGGTATGAGGTGAAGTTTTCTAGTAAATGTGGGACCACACCTGGGGACTTATTACACAGCAGGGGAACTTGGACCCCACCACCCACCCACATGTACATAATCCAACCAGAGAAACAGATCAAGAAGTACTGGATAGGGAAAGGAGTCTTCATTTTATGCAAAATGGAGGAAGCGAGGGAGAGTGAAGTGAGGGAATGGGTTTGAAGGCAGACGGACTTCCCCACAAGCTCACTCTTCCTTCCTGAGGTGTATGTTATAGACTCTACCCACCCACACCTCATCTTCTGAACTTGTAAGGGGGGCTAATAGCCAAGGGCCTGGGGCAACGAGAAGAAAGGAGATTTCCCCTCATACACACACATACATACTTACATGCACACTCATTCACACACATGTACACACATACTTGCCATAGAGTTTGGCTCAGATTTGGGCTGCAGTTAGTGTACATTCCTCCTCCCTCTTCCAGAAAAGATTTGCCCTGTGGCTGTTCCTCAGATAACATCTTTCACAGACATGTAAAGTGGATAGCATGTTCTAAATGTCTTTGGGAGACATACCTGCCTCTTGTTTGACCAGCCTTCTCTTCCTCCTCTGTCAGGAATCAGTGCCTCCTCCTCCTGACCACTCCAGGTAGCAGTCTGCAGGCCCTCCTACCGCCTTTCCTGAACCAACCTCACACCCCTGCAGGTCCTGTCAAAAGGCAGATTCTGACTCAGAAATTCCAGAGAAGTGCCTTTGCAGACCAGTTCTTAGCTGGGGGCCAGACAGCTGCTCTGTGACCACACCCACCTGCCCAGAAAGCCACAGGGAGCTCTTGACTGCGCAGGTTGTCCTCAATTCTCAGCTTGGCACAAGAAGATGAGGGCTAAAATGAACTCCTTGGTAATAGTCCCCATACAATTCCCACCCGCTTATTTTGACCGTAATCCCTCCTATCCCCCGACCCCTGCACCGGAATGTATCTCTGGTTTGTAGTTGCTTGTTGATTTTGATTTTATCATGATTAGTCTTTTCCCTGGTCCCTTGTTTAGGTTTTCTAAATTTCTGCTATGAGTGAGTCCATCCTGGTATTTTTCTTTCATTCTGGGTTATTTCGCTAAGCATGTCCCTTCCAGCTCCATCCATGTTGCTGCAAACTGCATGAGTTTATCTTTTTTGATTGCTGAGTAATATTCCATGGTGTATATGTACCACATCTTCTTGATCCAGTCATCTATTTTTGGGCATTTGGATTGTTTCCAAAGCTTAGCTATTGTAAATAGTGCTGCTATAAACATAGGGGTGCAGGTGCCCTTTTGAATTAATGAAAATGCATACATTGTACACGAATGAAAAATGATGTAAATAATATATAAAATAAAATAAACACAACACATGCCATCCTAAAAAAAAAAAATAATCCAGATGATGAAAGTGTAAAAATAGCTGATAAAATATGAAGCTGATTGAAAATGAAGAACAGTAAGTGATCATTTGCCTGACAAGACATACAAACATTTTATAAAGCTATAAAAATTAAAATACCATGAAAATGTTACCAAAAAATATTCAAATAAATCAGTGGAACCCATATTCATATGATAATTTGTATATAATAAAAGTTACATATTAAGTTAAAAAAATAAAAAGAGCTCCTAGGAGTTGGCTAGGTATTTGATTATTTATAATTTATTCAGCAGGTATTCATTGAACGGATGTCCTATGGGCTAAGCATGGCTTTGCATACCAGCTCTTTTTTTTAAAAAAAAAGATTTATTTATTTTTATACAAGAGTTAGGGTACAGGCCAGAGGCATGGAGGGTGAGAGGATTCACCAGAGACAGAGCAGGGAGCAGAACAGGCCGACAACAGATATACACTAATGAAAAGGAGAGGTCTGCCCCGCCACATGGGACCCTCGCTGGCTGGCTGGGATGGAACCGGTGCTGCAGATGCTGCGGACAGCTTCACAGCAGCTTCACAGCACGGCGCTCAACCCATTGTGCCACCAGGGAGATTCCATACCAGCTCTTTTATGATAAAAAATAATCTCCCTTTGTGATGTGATCCGCTTATGAAATAGTGTGCTTTGCTACTGTCGCTATGTGTAGCTTTCTCTTGAGCATGGTGGTGGAGTTCTGGAAAATTTCCACGCACGGGTATGTCTGTAAAATTGTGTCATTTCTAACCACTTAAAGTAGGAATAAACATATGTCAAGAAACAAAGAAATATACATAAAAGAGGTCAGTTGTAGCCTGCAAGCATCCCCCAGCCCTTCCACACAGGACAGGGCGTTCCATCCAGCTCAGCAGCCAGCTTTGGAGGCACAAGTCCTCCCTGCTCACCACCCACTGTCTGGAAGGAAACCCAAGTGCCTTCACCACCATGGCAGAGATCTAAGCTTCTGATTTCACCCCTCAGGTTTCAAGTTAATCCAGAAACGTGTGCGTTGTACTGTTTATGTGTTCCAAAAGTGAGCCCATTGAAGTGAGACAGCTTGAGATCTGTGTGTGTTATCTTAGTAACCGGGTTTGAAGGGGAGGAAGATCCTTAAAATAACAGCTGTTATCTGCAGTGTTCTCATCTGCCAAGTATTGTCTAAATCTTCACATGGTAACAATGTTAAAATTACCAGAAAAGATCATTATCTCCATAATACTGCTGAGATGCTTAACAAGACAGGATAAGGAAAAGGAAAAGGAAGGTAATTTAGTGCCTCCCCAAAGACCTGGCGACCTTCCCTGTGACAGGACGGAGGAGCATACAGAGGGACAGAAGAAGGAGGCTCCTTTGGATGGTAAAACAACTTGAAACACACTAATTATGTAAGTAGAATAGACACAACCACGGTCTAGAAAAATTAAGGCTTCCAAGAATAAGGGGGGCAAAAAGAACATCAGTGTTAACAACAGTTGAATGAGTTACAATAAATTCCCTTTTCCATCTACTTAGGAATATGGTTTCAGTGCTATTTTTTGTTTTTTTTAAGTGCCTCTGGCTCGAAGCTACAATGTCCCAAATGCTTTAGGGAAGTAGCCTTGGAAGAAAAGAAAAGAGCAGCATGATCCTTTTTAGCCAGCAGAAAGAAAAGAAAATAACAGTTGGAGTATGTGTGAAAAGAATCATTTCTCTCATTTCTTTCATTCTGTTCTGATTTCAAGTATAGTTATGCTTATTATGAAATATTTGGGGGAAAACAGATTTTTAAGAACAAGAAGAACCATCCATCAAAACCATGACAGTAACTTGAATATTCTTTCTACACATTTATGCATATTTTTAAAAATTCAGTGTCCAGGGCCTCCTTGGTGGCACAAGCGGTTAAGACACAACCTATGAGGCTATCCGCAGCCACTGCAGCATGAGTTTGATCCCCAGCCAAGGAGCTACCCACATGGTGCAACAGACCTCTCCTAACTTACCCACTGCTCCCCTCAGCAGTGTATTTCAATCTGCCTGTTCTGCTCCCAACTCTGTCTTTGATGAATCCTCTCAAACCCCCCACATCTCTGGCCTGTATCCCAATTCTTGTATGCACAAATAAATAAATCTTTAAAAAAATTCAGTGTCCAAAGAAAATTTCAAAGAACACTCACATACTTTTTCCTTGGATTCACCATTTGATTACATGTGTCTATTATCATTCTCTCAGATGCTTTATCTTTGTCTAAACCATTTGAGAGTGATTTATAGACACCTTGTATACTTACTCCCCAAATATTTTAACTGGGTTTTCTTCAGAAAAGGACATTCTGTTACATAAGCACAGTAAAAAAATCAAAACCAGGTGATTCAGCAATGAACAATGCTATTATCAAATAACAGGCCATGTGTGATGTTGTCTGTTGTCTCAGTGATGCCTGTGATAGTCTTTCCTCCTTCCCAGCATCAGTCCAGAATAACACAGGCATTCACTGTCAGTTCTTTTGAGTCTCCTAGCACTGGAACAGTCCCTGAGCTTCTCAAAGTATTCTTTTTTTTTTTTTTTTAAAGATTTATTTATTTATTTATACAAGCAGGTACAGTCAGAAGCACGGGAGCATGGGAGAATTCACCAGAGCCAGAGCAGTGAACAGAACAGGCAGACTGATGAAATACACTGCTGAGGGGAGCAGTGGGTGCGGCAGGAGAGATCTGCGCACCTTGTGGGACCCTCTCTGGTGGCCAGGGATTGAACCGGCACTGCAGAGGCTGCGGGCAACTTTGCAGCCCAGCACTCAACTGCTGTGCCACCAGGGGAGGCCCAATTCTCAAGGTATTCTTGACCTTAAAGTTGTAGAAAATATATTCAGTCATTTTCATAGAAGATCTTTCAGGTTAGGTTTCCCTGTCATCTCCTGAAGAACTGATTCAGGTCATACATTCTGGACAGTGGTGCCACAGACGTGCTCAGTGATCTTGTCTGGATGTCGTCTCCAGTGTTAGGTGCTGTCTTCTGTCCCAATAGTGCTAATTTGAGCTTCCATCCTTGCTTGTTATCTGGGTCTCTCCAAGGTTAAGTTACCATATTTCTATACACTGATTTTTAAAAGCAAAAATCCCAGTTATTTTTATGGAAGCATCAACTTACAATGTTCCTAGGATTTTAAGTAACAAAAAGACAAAGAAAATTGTTTGATTTCTCCAAAGATGGTGAGGCATGGAGAAAGAGGGTCTCTGCAGTGCTGGAGAGGAGATTTCCATCTTCCATCCTCCAGCCCATGAAGCAACTGTGAGAGATGTGGTGAAGTCAATAAGCAGAAAAGCAGCAGTCTTGAGCACAGGAGAAATCTGCAGAGGCCAGAGACAGCTCTAACTGAGCCATTTGGCTGTGACTCTAGGCTGTCTGAACACCTAGCACAGCATCACTCCAGACATCAGGCAAATCTTGCCACCACCAGAAGAATAAACAATAGATGTTTGACCAGACTCACCCTTCCACATAAGACATCCATTAAGCTTTTATGACCCACTCCTTCATTTCTCACATGGAGATTTTATGTGACTAGTGAGATAAGGATCCCCTAAATGTATACAATGCACTCCCCACCACTTATCTTTACCTAAGGCTATCACAGATACTCTGTTAAAAGGATTGCTTTGTTATAGAATAACAAGCTGGAACAGGAGAGTGGCCACAGCTGAGCAGAATGCCCTGGTGTCTCTCCCCAGGCTAGTCTGAATTTCTGACTCTGAAAATAAAACTCCTTTAGTAACCTTTTTAGCTGTGATGACTTCAGTTGATAGCAACACCCCCAAGGACATTGGAGATGCTTACCAGACAGATGACAGCTGCCCCCCAAAGTCAAGAACACAGACTGTCAAACTTGGCCTTTATCAGAACACATTATGGGGTTCATGGAAAGATTGATTCCTGTACCCCCAAGTTTATGATTCAGAATGAGTGGGATGGAAGTCAGATTTTGCATTTCTAGCAAAGCCCCACTAGTACTAATGCTGCTGTTCAGGGGTCACCCATTGAAAATCGCTGGTCTACACTCCTTTAGATGATGACAACTAGCACTGTCCTCCCAAACAGAGGACCCATTTCTCTGGGAGTGACCTTACACCTTGCTCATCTGAGAAGCCCTTGGACCCCACCTCAAAGTTTACTGACCTCCAGCTCCTCACATCACTTCTGTTTGTTATTGGCTATAAAAATACCTCGTCCAAATCATTGAACTTAGATTTAAAATAATAATTTTTATTTTAATAAAAAAATAAGGATTTGTGACACTACAAAGATTGAAAATTCCTTCTAGATTCTCTACTCCAAAATCACTGCTTCCTCATTTGCAAGTAACTGAAATGCTTACAATGTAGACACTCTCTGGAGCCCCAGCTGCAGGGATCCTGATTCATGGAGCCGAGGGCCAGGAATCAACACTTTAATCAGAAAATCTCAGAGAAACATCACATAAACCCTCCCCATGGCCTCCATGGATTCACTGCAGCAATTCATGTCTCCTTTAAAAAATCCTTTTGATGTCATAATTTCAGGTTTTCAGGTCTAATCTCCCAGCCAGGAATGGATCCCGGGCTGCAGTGGCGGTGCTGAGTCCCAGGTTCAAGAAGCCACAGCAGGAATTTTGCTGATGCTCAGATAAGAAAGCAAAAAGAGGCAAATTTGTTTAGAGAAAGAGAAAGTTTATTAAGGAGAAAAGCTACAGAAATGAAGTGGGACTCCCAGGCTGGTGGAACTAGGCCAGGGAGGAGCAAGGGAGACAAAGTGGAGTCTGCCTCAGGGAATATACACCTTCTTTCCCTAATTATGCTGAAGCTCCACCAGTCTCTCTGTGATTGGTTAGTTCTCGGTGGTCTCTCTCAGTCTGCTACTATGCTTGGAATCTTCCTGCTTCATAGCCCTTATCAGAGAATCCCCCTTTTTATTGCTCTTGTCCAGAAACATCTGCTGTCACTGTCCTGGGGTGCTTGATTAGCCCCATTTAGAATTTGTTGCCCTTATCTCTGGAGCTTCTCTTACTCCTTTTGTTTCCCTTATCTAAGAAGCCTCTAACGCTCCCAAAGTCCCTGCCTGCACTGTCCTTGAAGCTGCCTAATTATCCCTAACTTGCTCTAGAACTTACTTTTTCCCCATTTTCCAGAGTAAGACTCATACCATTTTGGTGTTCATTAGAATTGTAACAGGGTGGTCCGCATGGAAAGGGGAGGTTGCAGGTTCTCTGCCCCACCCAGGGAAGGATGAAGCTGAGCACAGAGGAGGAGAAGCTGGAGAAGGAAGAAAGAAGAATTGAGAGCCAGAAAGAGACCTGGAGGAGGCACATGGAGCAGAGAGACATGTGAAGAAGCTGCACTTACTTCTTGGCCTTGGACTTGTACCAGGGCCTTGGGAGACATGGTTAAGAAATATTTAGAACAGACATGGGTGAGAGACCCAAGGGGAAGCTGACAGTAGCACACTTTATCTTGATTTTGGTTCCTGGCTGCATCTTTGTACTCTTTTCCTTCCACACTTGTCTGGTACCTTCTACTTTCTCCCCCTTTCCATGGGTCCCCACCAGAATGTGGCTTAGACTGTGGCAAGCTTTTGGGCCCCAGTGGCCCTGCGTTGGGCCAACCTTTTTTGGCTGGGTATTTACCAATGAAGGGATGAGTTACTTTGGAAGATTCATGTGAAAACTATTTTATCTATTCTTTTCCTCCTCTTCTCTTTATTGCACACTAATTGTATTAAGGTTCCTTTCCATTAAAAGTCTTACATACTGGGGTATGTTTTTTCTTGATGTGGCAGACAGCGGAACCTATTTAGAACAGGCAGGTTTGGGGGGTTTAGGGTGCCCCTCACCCTTCCCAGTAACTGAATCATCTAGAGAGTATGTAAAATGTCAATCCCAGAGGTTGTCTCCCCTTCCCACCCCCAGCTCTCAAGTCAGTGGTGAGTCTTTGTAAAACCATGTGCCCCGGGCAATACCGAGAAGCACTTTGGAGGAAAGTGATAGCTCGGCAGGACTAGGGTCAAGTCATCACTCAACAAATATTGACTTTCAGCATGAATAGTCTTAGTAAAACAGACCAGTTGGAGCTTGCTGGTGTAATTGCTTCTAATGCTATGAAAACATCTCCCAGGGCTGTTCCAGATGCCGCCTTTGAAGATGACCTTCACCCAACTTCTGGAGAGCTGGCAGAGAAGAGCTTTACTTTGAGGATTGAGGATGGCCCGATGCACACTTGCCTAGCCTTATTAACCTCCTCAGACAATGCCAACGATCCAAGATCCTCCAGAGCAGCCACCACCCAGAATCTATGATGACCTCTATGACATCCATAGAGGGTGGGCAAAGTGTTGGTGTCAACTGTCCCTGCCCCTGACTATGGCTAATGGATCCAGGCTGGGATACAGGACCCAAAGTGGACCAATTGTATTCACTTCCCTGGAAGCTGGATGGGGACCACTGCCAATAATTTATTTAGAAAATGATAGACCACCTAAAGGTAAAGCTTGGGGTGGAGGCAGTTAGGAGTCAAATGGAAAAACAGCTGTGAGATGTTCTCTCCTCAGAGACAAAGCCATGAGGATGCCATCAGGACTGGAACAGACATGAGTAGGGAGCCCTCTGCTCTAGTCTTGTGGTCCTTAGATGGCCTGCACCACCGGTGCTTCTGGCTCCATCTCGGTACTCTCTCTGATCTAGAGAAGTCTAAGGAAGTCTTCACATAATCTCCCATTATGAAAGTGGCCCAGGGCCCCCAAGCTATAGGAACTCCCTCCTCATGCTTCCTGAGTCCCGATCCAGCCTCCAATCTGGCTTTCAGGTGCTGGAAGTCTGTGTTTATCTGCCCACCTCCTCCCATAGTGGATTGTGAGCAAGCTCTCAAGAGAGGAAACAGGCTCTTTATTCATCCTTGTGTCTCTCAAAATGCTCAGTCCAATATCTGAGCCTACACAAATCTAGATGAGTGAAGGAGTGAGTGAGTGATTAAATAAATGAAAAAACTCCCAAGACAATCAGGATACAGGGATGAAAGTTGTCATCTGAGCAGTGAAGACATAAGGCCCAGGCCACAAGGCAGGGGAGTAAGCCAGGGTCTGGAGCAAGACCAGATCAAAGGTCAGTGTCTATATGTGTTTGGAGGAGGGCAAGGCTCAGTGATGATACCTGAGTTTAACTAGAAAGTTAGACTGGGAAGTGGGTAAGTGGTGGGAAGAGGGGAGACCTATGCAGTCATAGAGACAGGGAACAAGACAGGTACAAATACTTCCAGCAGGAAGAGGAAATTTACCTCACTCCCCATTCCCCAAACTTTCTGTTAATTGTTGCTTTTCCACATTTTCCAAACTCAAAACTAGTGTGCAATTATCTTGACCAGATTTTAATTGGGCTTCTCTCTTCATATAGCTCTTTCCTTCCATTGAGAAACAATAATTCAAATGCAAAGAGATCCATGAAGCACTGCGTCGGATAAAAACTCAGCGTCAACGTGGATGTCCATGAGCTTGGAGCCTCTAGGTTTCTGAGAGGCTGGTGGAAACATGGGGGGCTTCCACTGATGAAGAGAAGCAAGGCAGGAAGAGGTCCCAGCTTGCCCATTTGTTTCCCCACATACATTCAGCAGGACAGGGCAGCTAGTGGCCTTGTTAGGACAGCCTCTGGGTATGGATTTCCTGGCAGGCCTCACTTATTATTTCAGAATGCACAATACTCTACCAAGGAGCACTGCCTGCCCCTGTTAATCCCTTGCCATTGGACCACCTTCTCCCCTAGGTTGGCTTTGCAATTGCTTTTCTATTTTCCTGTGTGAGGTTTACATCAGCATCACATTTCAGTGACAATAAAAATGGTTCTGGCACCTTCCAAAGAGCATAAACCCAGCAAGCAATTAGTAATGAAGGGAGCTGTCAAGCATTGCTCTGAGCACACTCAGCAGGAAGGCACAATCCAATTTTTGGAATATTCAGAAAAGCAGACCACACAATTAAATGACTTTATTATGATGACTGTTTTCTACTGCAGTTATTTGAGTCATATTTGATGACTCTTTTAATATAAATGATTTATAATATTTCTAAAGAGACTCCTGCTACTAATGATGATGATAATGTTTGATGGGGGAGTCGTCAACAAAACTGTCTCCCTGTCCATACTCTAAGAGAATCTGTCCCTTCCTGCCCATCCACAGAGGTTGGGCAAAGTGTTGGTGTCAGCTGTCCCTGCCCTTGATTATGGCTAATGGATCCAGGCTGGGATACAGGACCCAAAGTGGACCAACTGTATTCACTTCCCTGGAAGCTGGATGGGGGCCACTGCCAATAATTTATTTAGAAAATGATAGACCACCTAAAGGTAAAGCTTAGGGTAGAGGCAGTTAGGAGTCAAATGGAAAAACAGCCAGAGGTTCCACTGAGATACAAACAGGGTGAACACGAGAATGGTATTGGTGAGAGCTTGGGGCTCCCTTTTGGCCCCCTGCGATGAGAATTGGAAGGCAATTCTCTACAGCCACTCCCGTTTCTGCACATTGTGTGCACTGAGGCACTGGCCTGGACTGTATTTCCAAGTCTCTTTGTACAACCCTAGCTTTAGGAGACAAATAATGCCTTCTTGGGGCGGAGGGAAGATTATTTCCTGATCAGGATAGAGAATATAATATCTCCTTCTGGGACAAAAATCTCCTGTCACCACTTATAAGATTAGATTTATTAAACTTTTTAAGTCTGGGCTAGAAGCTGATGTAAATAAGTCCATGGTGTGCTCAGCATGCACCTGCCCCTGCCTCCTGCCACCTATTCATGCAGGACAGGGGCCTGGGGGAGGGGAACTATGTCAACAGGAAGATCACACCCTTGCTTTGTCCTGGGTATTAAAGTCCTTCTCTAGGACACAGGAGTATCTGTCTTTTGACATTTTGCATGAGATTATGGTAGGCTAACTAGTTAAATTTCAAGTTGGGTAAATCTTCAACCCATTTAATTTGGGTTCTTGACAGAGTATTGAGATACAGATTACTTGTGGAGGGACTCACTCTGTACACAAGACAGTGACTGGTAGAGTGTGGTGTCCAAGAAAGCAAAACTCCATTCCTAAACTCCAGTAGTTTAGAATCACTCTTAAAATGAACTTTTCTAGCTCCCAGATCCATTTGCAAGCACTTTCTTTATGAATCTATTTATAGTTACATGCATGATAACTGGAATACCAGGAAGGTGGTTTCTATGTATTGATTGCCATGTTATTTAATTTTGAGAGAAAATGAATTTTCAAAACTGATATAGGATTCAAAAACATTTTTCAAGTACGTGTGTTATTTTCCTCCTAGATTGGTGGATGGAAAACAAAAGGACTACTTCTTCCCACTGTGAGTAAAATGTCTAGGGACAGAGTGCCTGAATAAATAGGCTGATTCCTGTAACAATGACTGCAATGATGCATTGAGAACATATGATGTCAGGATCCTATGCTAAGCATTAATGTATGTTACATGAGTTGGCTGTTTGAATGAGGTCTGGCACATGGTAAATGTGATGTGTTTGCTAGCATTAGCATCACATTTTCTTATTCAGTCAAGTAAGAACTCCTGTGTTCATCACTTAGAGATGAGAAAAGCAAGGCTTGAAAGGTCAGTAACTTTTCCAAAGAAAATGGGTTACAATGACTTGGGTTTCAAGTAACGGAAAACATATCTGAAAATGCTGAAATGAGACTCTGGATCACCTCGCATAAAATGTTCATTGGGAGTGGGTTGGCTGCCTCATCAGGCCTCACTGTTATCAAGCACCTTAGTTATTTCTCTCTTCCTACCCTACCATCTTCAACATATTGGCTATCATATTGGACATGCTTTTTACCTCATAATCACAAAGTGGCTGCAGCCCCTCTAAGTATTATGTCCCCACAGGACAATAGTCATAGCTTTCCCAGAAGCTGTCCCTGTACTTCTCACACCCACCTAAAATAATCACTGATCTAGAAAGAGAGCCAACTGGAGCAACAGGGCACATTTAAAATGAAGTCCTGAATAAAACCAGAAAGAGTGGAGTTTGGGAAGCATGCAACAATGGCTGAAACTCTGTCCATGCCATACTGGAGCCCTGGGACATAAAAGTCCTCTAGTGCTGCACATTCTATTACAATGGAATGGTCTGTATGTTCACTGTCCAGTATAATGGCCACATCAGTTGCTAAACATTTGAAATACAGTGTGATTGAGAAATTAAATTTAAACTTCTTAACTTTAACTAATTTAAATACAAAGAGTCACATGGGTCTAGTAGTTAACAGCACTGAGGATGCAAAGCCAGCATATCACTAGCCTGCTGCAAGCCTAGTGACACCCACAGGTATCTAATGCTATAGAAATGCAATCTGAGTCACAAATATAATCTACATTTTTCCAAAACCACTTAAAAAAAGGAAAAAGGTGAAATTTATTTTATAATCTACTCTATTTTACTTCTGTATCCAAAGTATCATTTCAAAATGTAACAATATAAAGCATGTTAAAGAAATATTTTATGTTCTCTTGTTCATGCTGAGTCTTTGCAATCCAATTGCACATGTCACACATATAGCATGTCTTGTTTGGACCAATCACATTTCAAGTGCTGATCAATGCTGGTCTAGAAATTTCAGAGCATAAATCCTCCCTCTCAGCATTATCACGCTGAGTTCAATCCCCAGGCAGGGAGCTAACCCACATATGGTACAGCAGACCTCTCATGTCTCTCCCACTGCTCCTCTCAGCAGTGTATTTCAGCAGATCTGCCTGTTCTGTTCCCCACTCTGTCACTGGTGAATCCTCTCACCCCCCACAACTCTCCCCATACACCCTGATTCTTCCATGCATAAATAAATAAATAAATCTTTAAAAAAAAGACATTTCAGAGCATTTATGTCAAACCATTTTTTCCTGATACTGGCTCATAACTCTGGGAAGTGGGCCAGATGAGGAAATGAAGATTCAGAAGGGCCACGCCTTCCACTTCAGACGTGAGCATCATCAGAGTCTCCTCAAGGGCTGGTGAGCACATGTGGCTGGTCCCCAACCTCTGTTCTTCTAATTCAGCAGGTTTCTAAGGTGAGGGGGTACTGCTGGGTCAGGGCTGCACTTGAAAAATTGCTACTCTAGTGGAATAGCCCAAGTTTTCATCCCAGTAAGCAAAAGGTTCAGAATTAAAAATTAAAACAATTTTCTGTCTTCCAGCTCACTCCTTTCTACATATAGACATGAAGTTGGGATGCTGAGATAGTCTGAAAACAACTCCCAAAGCACAGAAAAGTGTTTAATTGCCCCCAAAGGACTGGAAGTCTAAGTAATCTGAATACTGTGTAAACTTTGTGCCCACCCTAGACCTATGTCATTGTCCTGATGATTTTGTCTCTCTCAGATGATTTTAGGTTCCATTTCTTTCAAGGTAAACATTTAATAAATAATACATTGTTGAAGGAAACCCTTGCCCTTATATCTGATGTGACAACTGGGCCTTTGGAGGTAGAATGAAGTTACACTGTCATCAGATTGTCTAGATATCACTGAAGTTCAGATGGGAATCCCAAGAGATAACTATGAACATCATTTGTAAAAATGCCATGTGCTTAGCTCTGGGCAAATTATGCATTCAATATGCTAATGGCAGAAGTGATCAAAGCCAAGCCCAGATACTGAGAATATTTCAGAGGCACTTCTAATCGGAAGGTGATACAAGTGACTCTCTAGACTGCTGTCCCCTGCTGCTGAGGACCAAGCCTCTGCTTCATGGGCCGTCATTTGTGGGAGAAGCTTCCCCTGGAGATCTGTGGTCCAGATGCTGCAAGGTCAACTACCTCTGGCCTAAGAAGCACATTGGAGATGTGGAAATAGGCAAGATGTCCAAACCTCCAACCATATTCCACCCTCTCCTCCATCACTCAGCGTGGGAGACTCCACAGGCCTTCAGGCAGCTGTGCCCAGCTGTGCCCATGAACAGCCCTCTCACCTCTTGTTTAGAGGGTCCTTCACACCTAGCTCAGCTCTGCCTTAACAACATGTGGGGGAGCAATTTGGTCCTGATACCAGACATTTAACCAACAGGCCCTAAATAGGCCTCAATACATACGTTCTACAGAAAGAGACAGGTGAACTGAAAATATCCTTTAACATCTTATGTTCAGAATTGTTTGTTTTTCAGCTTGAATGTTTCACATGGAGAACCATTGTGGCTGGTCCCACCTTCGGGTTCATGTCTAGTGCCTTGGGAGAGGACAGCAAGGGTCGTAGCTGCCTCAGCCTCTTCCCCCTGGGACCACCAGGTGGCCCCCCCCTTCCTCTTCTGGAGCATTCTGTCCCTTTGAGCAGAGAGGTCACTGTTTGGTTCCCCTGAGGTTTCCCCTGGATCTCCCTCAGTGCTCCTGGAGGTACTGTCATAGCCACACACTGAGCCTCTCTGGTCACCTGCCTCTCTCTCTATCACTCCACTTCAGTGTGTTGCATCAGTGTTGCATCAGTGTGCTTTAGAACTGCCCAGAGAACCTTCAAGATATTCAGATACCTGGACTCCCCTCCAGACCAAGTAGCCCAGAGTGTCTGGGGACTGAGAACAGCCATGAAGTTCTCCAGGAGGACCGACGTTCAATCTAAGGTCAAGCCCCCCGGCTCTCGGGGAAGTGGCCTCTGGCAGCCGAGGCTGTGTCTGACCCCTGTCCTGGGCTGGAACTTAATGTGCTATGGTCACATTGCAGCCCTGGCAGGTCTATGCCACCTCTCACATCCCAGCAACACACTGGCTTCTAGCTCACTGACTCTGACAGAGGGTGTGCTGCTTAATGCCAGCGAGTTTGGGGGAAAAAAAGATTTTTTAAGAGTTTCAGAATGACCAAGTAGCAGAGACTCTGTTGAAGGTGTTAATAATAATAAACACGTATAATGCTTATCAGTGCCAAACACCGTTCGTTTCACATATGTCAGCTTGTTTAGTCTTCACAATAATCCCTCTGTGATAGGG